ACAATGTATCATAACTAACAACACAGTAGGTCGTAACTAAATATACAAAGGTTGTAACTAAAAATACATATGATACACACCCTAAAGAATTTTTCAATATATATAGTAGGAGAATATCAAATCAATGTTATTTTAAGAAAATAATTACAAAATAATAAAAAATTTATATATATAATATTTAATATGTTATGTTAGTTTTTTTTTAAAACTTTTCAGGTTTGTTGAATCTAATAAATAAATAAATAAACCAAGAAAGTCAATTGTTTTTTGCTTTTATTTTTGTCCTTTCTGATTTTTTTTTTTTTTAAATTTCTTTTACTTTTCCACTCAGTCTAGTTGAGAAATTTTTTTTGAGTTTCATCACCTTATTTGACAACAGTACTTTTTAATTTAAAAGTTAAAAAGTTATTAAAAAAATTAAAAAGTCAATAACTTATACAAAAAAATTAAAGATTCTTATTTCTCTCTATTTTTTACACATCTTTTCGTAAAAAAACTAAAAAATTATCCCAAACCTACTAATTTTTTTTACATAATATTTTAATCAAAAAATCAAAAAGTTATAAAAAAAAAAAAAACATGTTTTCATGACATACTAATTTTTTTTTACATAATAATTTAATCAAAAAACCAAAAAGTTATCAAAAAACGTGTTTCCAAATGAGGCATGTAGTTAATTTTTATCTCCCACTAATCTAACAATATTGTAATTCCTATCACAAATTAACAATACTTATTAGATAGTGAGAACACCGCGTAATATTATCTTAATGACTTACATCTAATAGTCATCCTTCCAAAAGTGTAGGGTGTGTTTGGTTTGTGTTTGTAGAGTAATTTTTTAGATAAAAAGTATGAAAGCTTGTTTGATTTGTCTTTTTTCAGAAATGGTTTGGAAAATTATTTTGGAGAGAGAGTTTTAAAAAAAGTGATTGATTTGATGTGTATGAGAGAGAGAGTGATTTTGGAAAGTAAGTAACCAAACAAAATTTTGAGATTTTTTTGAAAAAAATTGTTTGATTTGATTACTCTTAAAAATTTATGTGTACAGAATTTTTTTCAAAATTTTTTCTGAAAAACAAACCAAATAATTTTTTTAAATGCCCAGTAAATCCTATATCCCCCACTTACGACCCACTTAGCCTATATATATTTTTCTAATCTAAAAAATCTTACTTCACATTAAAATATTTCAAATGTAGTATATCTACATTTGAGAACGTAAAATATATATGTGAATATTACATTGAAAAATCATAGTTATCATGTTACGTCTCTATCAAATGACACATTTGACAAAAGTTTAATAAATAATGATACACACTTTAGAATGATATCTTATTGTCATATTTTAAAAATGACACATTTAATAAAACAATAGTACGCATAGGATTGTAATCCTCTCCATTACATATTTGTAATGGATAGATTTCATTATATCATTCAATAGTCAGTGTAATGATCCATTTTAATTTAAATTAATTATATATTTATATTTGTAATTTATAACCATTAGATATGTAATGGACATTCTCCATTACATATATGAAATAGAGGGGATCAAAGTTGGTGTGGACATTAAATGATGTGAACAATCTCGCATTAAAATCTGTCAAATAAAGTATATCCACATTTAGAAACCAAATGTAGTATCACTCAAGAATCTCTAAGAAATATAGTGAAATGACCTCGCGGTGTATCTTTTCAGATTTAATAGGACATAATTGTCAACAAAAAAATTCATGGGACTTTTCGATAGATACTTTTCTAGATGGAATTTCTGAGTAAATTTCCTGAAAAAATCCAACAGAAGAGCCACTAAAAAAGAAAATTAAAAAAAAAAATTACTTTTGGATTTTACTCAATTAGGATGATCCATTTTTTATTTTATTTTATTTTTTTAAAAAAAAGAGGTCTAAATAGGACAACAAAAAATAAAAACTACAAATAATTGACATTTTTAGTTTCTCAATTTTTTTATTTTTATTTTTATTTTATTTATCTTTTAGATTCATCTGTACAATATGGATCTAAAAAGAAGGGGAAAAAAAAAAAAGAAGACATAATTTAAATTTTTTTTACTGAAGATAAAAAAATTTTAAAAAAATATAACTATATGCATATAATAGGGAAAGTTACAAATAAGTGAAAGGTCTTAAATTTTTATAGTCCAATTTTGACACGCAGAAAAAAATAAAATAAAACAAAATTGCACCATATACCCAAATTACTTACACTATCATAAAAATGAAATTATTTTTTGATTATACTAATTTTCCTTATATAATACAATGTGTGTATATATATATAAAATGAGGAAAAATTTTATAGTACACGATCCTTTTAAGTGTGTATTATATACACTCTTAATTATAATTTTGTTAGTTTTTAATTATGATTCATTGTAATATTAATTATGATATTATTTTAATTATGATTTAATTTTTTTTTAATTATACCTTATCTAATGTTTAGTTATAACTCATTTTTCTTAATTATAACTTCTATAAAATTAAATTATAAAGTATGGCAAACACTTTAAAGGGTTGTTTGAGAATGATCTAAATAAGTGTACTTTTTAATTTTTTATAAAAAAAATATGAAATATGAGTTGATTTTGAAGTAATTTGATAAAAAGATAATATGATTTAAATAAGATGATATAATTTAAATAAAATAATAATTTTTTAATTTCTTTTTAAATTATGCCAAACTAGCCTAAGATTGTTTGGTTTGTATTTCTCAAAAAATTTTAGGAAAAATTCTCTACAAATAAGCTTTCAAAAGTAATCAAACCAAACAAATTTTCTCAATTTTTTTTTTCAAAACTTGTTTGGTTTACAAGTTTTCCAAACAAATCTCTCTCTCATACACATCAAATCAATCACTTTTTTCAAAACTCTCTCTCAAAATAATTTTTTAAAATATCTTTTAAAAAGAAACTAAACCAAACAAATTTTCGTACTTTTTATCTCGAAATATGTTTATCAAATACAAATCAAACAAGTCCGCACTTTCTCTCTCTCTGTCTTTATATGTGTGTATATACAGAGGTACATAGTGATAGTACATAAAAGGGGCCTTTCTCTTTTTCTGTTCGTACACCAGTTTTAAAAGTAAAGCCGAGGATTGCGGAGATTACACACTCCCAAATTCCCATTGTCACATGTGTCAACCCAAAGAGCATGCCCAGAGGAAGGCGTCGTTTGGGAAGCGGGCTAATTTTTTTTGACTTTTTAACTATTTAATTTGAATTAAAAATTTTTGTTTAGATTAATTTTTTTTATTTTTTTATTTTGTACGAAAAAAATAAATTAATTATAATTTAAATATGACATTTTATCTTATTAATTTTTTAATCTATTTTATCATTTTATAATTATTTTAATCTTTTAATATGCTACCAAAAAAAATTGAAAATGAGCTCGTGAACAAAGAATAATGTTAGAGATTTTAAAAAATTTATTAAAATATTTATCAAATGTCTCACATACTCACACAATGTGAATCTCACACTCATGTGAGACCTTTGATAAAATATTTAAGCATAGTTTGAAAAGTTAATTTTGGTGAGTTAGGAGCTAAAATAACCACAAAAAACAAAATAGGCTATTTTAGTCACAAAAAATAAAACATCAAATTCAACCCATAATCATTACACTCCTCTCTCACAAAAAAGGTCAAAAAAGTCAAAAAATTCAAAAATACTTTCCAAATCAAGCTTTTTAACCTCAAGTTAAAATAGTCAAAAAATTAAAAAGTTAAAAAACCAATCCACTTTTTAAACGGAGACTTAGTAAAATTTTTAGAGCTTGTAGCATATTTGGTGAGGGAACAGGAGGTGGCAGCGACTAAGGTGGCTGGGAGGGTGGTTGGGGGTGAGTAGGTATAGAGTTGGGATTAATTGGAGTGTTCAAAAAGCAAAAAAAACAAAGGTGGGGTGTCTTTAAGAAATGGAGTGTCTAACAAATTTTTTGGGGGGTAGGCTCCCATTTACACCACAAAATCAGTTTGGAATTGCACTGCTTTTATAATTGAGCCGTGCTTCCGACCCCCACTGGGGGTCCCCAGTGCGATCCCCATTGACGTTGCAGCATGAAATTAGCAGAAAACATAAAAAAAAAAAAAAAAAAAAAAAAAAAAAAAACAACAATTTTTTTTTAGACCAATCACACGCGACCCCCAGTATCCCCATTGGGGGTCCGAAGCTTTTTCCTTTATAATTACACCCCTTCTAAAAATTTGAATTTTTATTTTCATCTCCTTACAAGTTACACCTATTATAATTCCAAACTTATCATCTTTAACACTCCTAACCTTCCAAACCATAATTTTACTACAACCACAACAATCACCTTTGGCCACCGGCCCACCGCAACCATAACAGCCATAACTTCCTTCCCTAGCCCTCTCTCCCTCTACGAAGCCCCTCCCCAATGCAACTTCCTTCCCTGCGATCCCCTCTCCCCAACACCCCTTCCTTGCCTCGAGTCCTCTTCCACCACTGTGACTTCCTTTCCATCCCCTCACCACCACGAGAGAGTAGATGTAGGTTTTAAGATTTAGGGTTTAGAAGAGGAGAAAGGGGAGGGGTGGTGGCGGGGGTGGCACCAACAAGAAACGGAAAGGGGGTGAGTGGCAGCAATGGGGGTGGACAGTGGAGAAGTGGGCAAAAATAGAAATTAATAATTTTTGGATTTTTTTTGACGTAAATAGAATCACACAATGCAATGAGATAGCTCTTTTGCTTTAAAAATAATGCAACATAAATTATGTACATGTTAGAAAAAAAAAATTTTTGTCACAACCGATTCCAATTTAACTTGATATCAGAACAGGCTACATCCATCTGTATGTATCTAACAACCTAAGCTGCAAATGTGAGTGGGAAAACAACAAAGATCACAATTAAACATGGAACGCAATTTAAATTCTTTGTGAAATAACACACCAAGACTTCAATTTTGTGTCTCACACAGGCACTCCCAAAAAAAAAAAAAAAGTACAATCAGATGTTAGTATTCCCTACCCTTTCGGCGTCTGAAAAATTTTGCATAACCCATGCCTCTCTGAGGCCACAATGAGAATATAAAGGCATTAGCATTTTGGTCACATTAACACAGCAAATGATGTGTTCTCAGAGAAGAAGCAATTTGTCATGCCGTTTAAGGCAAAGATAAGCAAAATTAGCAAGATTTGTACAACAGCAAAGACAATCAATCTAGTGTCTCATGTAAAACAATCAATCTCAACTACAATCCTAGCTTGGTTTGTTTGCCAATTCAATTTCTTCCAGTTCAAGAATATTTGGATTGTAGTTCTGTTCTCACCTGATTGTGGTTTCAGCTCCTGCAGTAGTACTGAGATATGTTGTTAGAATCGATGACCGATGGAAAGTAATGGTTGTGGGGGATTGTTGTAGTTGGAAACCAAGGTTGGTAAACCGCAGCCGATGAAGTAGCGATGGTTGAAGTAGCGAATCCTGATGATGCTGCAGTAGAGAAGAGTGGCAGTGGAACGTCACCACCAAATGGGCCTTGGAATTGCAATGCCCAGCTCGGTGAAGAATCAAATTCCATACTATTCTCTATTGCTCTTCCCTGTTGACGGCAAAAAATAAAATAAAATAATTGAATTGTTTATCAACTTGTGAAAAATCAATATTCATAGTAAATAATAACAAAGATGGCCAATAAATCATATGGAGCTCCATGGGATGAAAATAGACACATGGTCGCATTAAACTAGCCCCAAAAGTTTCATAACAACATAAGGGAAAACCCCTAACTTCTATTCTATCAGCTTCAGAATTGGTGATTGCTGATCAGTAGTCATTACAGGAAGATGATGGATTGTAGCCAAATGATCTAGCTTTTTCAATAAGTTAGAAGAGAGGTGTTAAGCGATAATGTTTTCCCAGCAACAAAAGCCAGATAATGATTCTATAGTCCAACCAAAACTTCCAATATGTGATCAAATGATCATTTAGTCTAAACTCTAAATGCAAGAGCAGAGAAAGTTGTTGCTAATGTAGTAATAGCAAGAAATAAATTGGATAGTCGGATAGAGTAAAATTACCTCATAGATGGGAACGGCATGGGAATTTACACCTTTCCAGAGAGGAGGGTGCTCAGAAACCATTATTTGGCCATGAGGTGGTTGAATTCCCATTGTTGTAACGGAGTTCTCAGCCTGTAAGAGGAAAAGATAAATCTGCTACATAAACTCACGTAAGACCTTCCAAAATTCGAACATAGCATGTATACAGAATGATCACTGGTTTGACTAATCCAATTATAGAGCAGAACCAAATAGACTAAAATCTTAATATATGGCTTTTAAAATTACCCTTCTGTTCTCATGCATATTGCTCAAATCACTCTGCAAATGTAAACCACTGCTCAAGTCATTGCTTCCCATTTGGCCATTAGCAAAATAAGGGGTAGAAATACCCAAGTTGAGGTCTAGATTATGGCTGCTTCCTGCATAGAAGAGATTAGGGATGTCATCATATCATGATTCATAAAGAAGGATAGCTAAATATATGCAACCGTAAATGAAGTGAAGTTTCAAGAATCATAAAACAACACAAAAAATTAAACAAGTGATACCTCCATTCTCAATCTCAGAGCTTAACTCCTCTTCATATGTGCTTGCCTCAAAGTTGGTCACCGCTTCCCTTCCATTGCATTTTATTGCAGCCTTGTCATAAGCCCTGATTAACATAAAGTTAAATTGGATCGGATGGAGAATAGATAATATAATATAACATATAGAGCAAGGAAAAGTAAAATTTTAATCATTATGACCTTGCAGCTTCCACCTCGCTGTCGAACAACCCAAGATAGATATACCTGTAGGCAATGTGTTGGATACAAACCAACGAAGACCATTTTCACAGTTCATTAATAATATAAGTTAATAAAATCGATACAGAATTTGGGAGATCACACAGAATTTTGAGTCACATCTGACTAGAAAATGTAAAAAATCAGTTCAGTGTTGTCTCACTTCTTGCCAAGGAACTGCCCCATTCGAGCTTCCCATCGTCCACATTTGTGCAGTGTAACACCCCTGTATTTTGAAGTACCCCTAGAGAATCCGGTGCTCTGGCGACGAAGTACATGCACGAATTCTTCCTTTGTCAAATTCTTCATCTGCATAAAGATCAAAACCAGATCAACACAATTAAATTCCTCATAGAAACAAAACTTTTGTATCAACTAGACATTTATCAACCCCAACCACCTGTTGAAAATCTTCATTATAATCACTGATATTAAAATTGATATCTGCATCAGTTCCACGGAACTTAATTGCAGCTCGATCATATGCCCTGAGATCACAAAGATAATTGAAAATAATTTTCCAAACCCATATCACAGAAAAACTTCGAAGGATAAAATTGTTTAAACTTCCAACCCAATACCATTATTACCTAGCTGCGGCATGTGCAGTGTCGAATCCCCCTACGCAATTAATCGTTCATATTTAAAGGAAGAAGCACATTTAGCAACACATTAGTCGTAACAAAACGAAGTTTCTAATCAGATTGATATATAAAGTCCAATCAAATTCAGAGATCAAAGTTCCTTACCCAGATACACTTGTTTTCCACAATCCCTGTGCAAATCAAAATTAAACACTCAACATCATACAGAAATGAGAGCCCATCACTTCAAAATGAACAACCACCATGATCAATATCTTCAAACTATACAGGTACAATGCAAGAAATGAAAGTTCAGCCTATGACAATTTTACCAACAATAATAATGTAAACAGAAAGTAACACATAATCATAGACCACACCATAACCACAATCTTAACGAATTATAACAACTATATATGTACATATAAAACCATAAAAATTGAAAAAAAAAATGCATAATGCAAAAAGGTATATATATATATATATATAATCATACAAACATAATAATATACTAACCAAATATGTGATTCCCATCGCCCAGTTCTCCGATAAAACGTGACTCCTCGATACTGAGAGCTCCGAGATCTCGGTCCCCTCCTACTCTTCCTCACCTGCTGTCTCTGCTGTGGCACCACCAAACCCCTCTCCTCTTTCGGACCACCGGAATTCCCGGCCACAACCGAAAGATCCAACCACTGGCGCTGCTGGCAAGACGACGCATCTTCTCCGCCTTCGCCGTTAACTGGAAAAAGCTGTTTAGTTTGTGGAACGCCATTATTGTATTCTTCGCATTCGGTGGTTTTCAATATATCGAAGCTGTAGAGATGAGAGGAGGAGAACTCTTCGTCGCCGAGGTTGGTGCTCGAGGTGTCGAGATTGATGATGGAGGAATTGGAAGTTCCTGAATCATCCATATGGACTCCGGAGAGTTCTAGAAACTTCTCTGTAACAGCTTCGAGACCATCGGAGATGGAATCTGTCGCAACAGCAGTGAGATTCAGGTCCAGCATCATCGACTCTCACTCGCTACTCAAATTCTTCAATGCTATATATATGGAAAGACCTCTCAAGAGCTGAAACTATAATCAATGAATCAAAAAATAAAAACTAGCGAGAAAATAAGCGTAGTTATAGAGAGAAACCGCCATAGAAATGAGGATTTTTTTGTAATAGATGAAGAAATATAGGGGTGTATATATATATATATATAGAGACAGAGAGAGAGAGAGAGAGACTAAAAGAGATTTAAGAGGTGCATTCCGTCGTCAGTAAGTTGAAAACGCCGACAACGAAGGATTCTTGGCCGCCGGTTGTCGCATTGCAGGTAGAGAGAGAGTTTTTAGAGAGAGAGAGAGAGAGAGAGAGAGAGAGAGAGGAGAGAGATGAGTGAGTGATAAAGAGGAGATGGGGACGAAGAGAAGCTTTTTGTTTATAGCGTATTTTGGCAATCAGTTTTTTATTTTATTATTATTATTATTATTATTATTATTATTATTTGGTTGTTTGGGATCACATTATTATTATTTTAATATTATTATTATTATTATTTGGTTGTTTGGGATCACATTATTATTATTTTAATATATTAAAAAATTAATTTTTTAGCCTATTTCTTAATGATTTAGACCTTGATTATTTTAATTGATTATTTTATATTTTTTAATTATTTTAATTTGATTGAAAAAAATTGTATTTATAGTGATAATTAATTTTTTTAGTTAATTTAGTAATTATGAAAAAAATAAAATAATTATAATTTAAGGGGGCATTTGGAAAGAAAGATTTTAGCCTTTTTTATGTTAAAATTTACAAAAAGACAAAATAGACTAAAATAGTTAATAAGACAAAATATCACATCAAACTCATAATCATTTCACTTTTTCTTTCACAAATATCACATTTAATTATAAAAAAATCCAATCATCTTTCCAAATACAAAAATTTTAACCTACTAGCAAAAATTAAAATAACCTACTAAAATAACAATTCCGAAACACCCACTAAATGTTATTTTTTATTTTTATTATTTATTATTTTAACTCAAAATTAAAGTTGCCAAACATCCTACAGATATAGAGACTTTATGGGTTAGTTTGGAAAGCGGATTGGTTTTTTGACTTTTTTTCGAAGGAGTTTTTAATTTTTAAAATTTTTTTTAGAAAAATAATGTAATGATTATATAGTGGATGTGATATTTTGTCTTATAAGATTAAGAAACTTATTTTATCTTTTTGTGACTAAAATAGTCCTAAACCTAACTTAACCTATCTGTCTAAACAGAGGCTATTTGAGATGTAGGTTAATTTTTTGACTTTTTTATTATTTTAACTTGTGACTAAAATAATTTTGTTTAAGATAATTTTTTTGACTTTTTCAATTTTAATAAAAAAATAAAATAATTTTGATTTAAATATTTAACTTAACATGCAAAAAAATTATTTCTTCCTTTTATAATTATTTTAACCTAACTGCGTAACCCACATGCCAAACCAAGACAGAGATATGTTATGGGGGTCTCGCATGGTGAGTAGAAGCATGAATTGAAACAGGGCTAAATTTGGTATAGAAAGGAAAGGGGCACTGACATTGGTGGCGCGTGGGAGGCAACCCCAAAATGTCTGTCAAACTCATCTGATAGACAACATGAAAGATAAAAATAAATAAATAAATAAATAAACAAATTACAAATAAATAAATGAATAAATAAAAATACAGTATATATTTATAAAATAGATTAGAACAATGATGAAGACGCAGACGAAGAAAAGAATAAGGATAAAACCAGCACCAAAAAGGTAACTCTCACAAAATTTCAAGCAAAAACCAAAGTCTCCCCCTTACCATTGTTAATTTTCAATTTCTGAACATATTAAGGTCTCGTTTGAGAACATATTATTTTAATAATTTTTTAATTTTTTATAAAAATATATATAGAAAAGTAAAGAGAGTGATATGATAATTTATAGTGACTTTTTGACTAAAATATTTACTCCCCAAATAAGGCCTAAATTAACTTTTTTTTAATCATATCTATTTTATTATATATTTTTATGATAAATATTTCTTATTTTTATGATAAAATTATAATAATTAGTGGTTTAAAATGAAGTTAATTATTTTCAAATAATGTTATATATTTTTTCATTGAAACATTTTCTATCAACAAAATATGTAATATTACTATAAAAAAATATGTAATACTTATTTATAAAAATGTATAATCTATATAATAAGACAGAAGAGTTTTTGAAAATGTATAAAATGTATTAGAGATACATTTTAAATCAATGGTCTATATCAATTCTGAGTATATATCAATGGCTCAGATCTATATAGTTCCCGCCCAAGCATTTAGGCTTCCACCTACCCACGTCTTCTCTCCATTCTATCTTTATTTCTCTCTCCCCCTCTGTTCTCACCCACGTCTTCTCCTCATTCCCTTTTTATCTCTCTCTCTCTTTCTCTCTCTCTTCTTCTTCCATACCCTCCCTCTTCGCTCGCTCCCCACCCTGCTCTCTAGTGTCAGCTCGCAAGGTAAGATTTTTGCTATCTCTCTCGATCTTCCCTCTTCGCTCGCTTCCATTCTCTCTCTGTTTCCCTAACATTTTTTATCTTCCTTATTTGGGTTTATTTGGGTTGATAACTTGTTTATCTAGGTTTGACTGTTTAACTACGTTTAAAATGGGTTTGATTGAACATAAACTGATTTTGTCAGGCAATCAGTTTTTTGCATATTATTTGTGTCTATACATCTAATTTTTTTTATCTCTCTATCTGATTGATTAGGGTAAGTGATTTCTTTTCATTTTATATTGCTATTAGTTTTTTGCATATTGTTTGTGTCTATACATCTAATTTTTTGGCTTGCTAATCAAACATCTTCTGTGAACTGGTTTGTATCTCTGTATCTGATTGATTGGAGTAAATGATTTCTTTTCATTTTATATTTTTGGGTTTGATTTATATCTTTGTATCTGATTGATTGGGGTAAATGATTTTTTTCATTTTATATTGTTGGGTTTGATTCATGTATCTGTATCTGATTGATTGGAGTAAAAAAATCCTTAATCGATTGTTAGGTTAGGAGTTTGAGGTGTTCTGCACACACTTACCTTTTTTCTCTCTTTCATTTGCAATATTTTTTTTGATTATTTTATTTTTTGGTTCGGCAACAAAGAAATTTGGTTAATAAATTAAAAGAGAATATTCAAGAGAAGGTGGAGGTCAAGAAGTCATTTTCAACAATTTTATTAGTTTGGTTGAAACAAATTCTTTTCTATTATACTAAAATTACTGTAAATTAGAGGATGATTAGTCAGTTGCAGATTTCTTCATGGCAAAACATGCACTCAATGTTATAAACTAATTAAATGTGGTGACTACGTATAGGTAAATACATCAAAGCCAGTTAATTGTGGAAAAAAAATGCAGTGTTTGGACAAAATAAGTTGCAGTTTATTCATGCCAAAAGAAATAGGTTGTAGTTTACAGCAATTTTTGGTACACACTTACCTTTTTTCTCTCTTTCATTTGCAATTTTTTTTTTTGGGTTCAGCAACAAAGAAATTTGGTTAATAAATTGAAAGATAATATTGAAGAGAAGGTGGAGGTCAAGAAGTCATTTTTAACAGTTTTTGCTATTTTTTTAAGTTCATTTCCATGTCCTGTTACTGTTGCCACTTAATAGTTTATTTATTATTAGGTCAGTTGGTCTTCTCTCTCTATTAATGCATGGGCTACATTCTACTGTTTGTGAATGCATAGGACACATTCCAAGCTCATCATTGGTTAGTTGTATACATATGTGTCAAAACCCTTTAATAGTAATTCTGCTAACTGTGTCTCTGTATCTAATTTTTTTGGCTTGCTAATCAAACATGCACACACTTACCTTTTCTCTCTCTTTCATTTGCAACAATTTTTTTTTTGGGTTCGGCAACAAAGAAATTTGGTTAATAAGTTAAAAGAGAATATTCAAGAGAAGATGGAGGTCAAGAAGTCATTTTCAACTGTTTTTGGTATTTTTTAAAGTTCATTTCCATGTTCTGTTACTGTTGCCACTTAATAGTTTATTTATTATTAGGTCAGCTGGTCTTCTCTCTCTATTAATGCATGGTGCTGCACCATGTTTTGCTATGAAGAAATCTGCAACTGACTAATCATCCTCTAATTTACAGCAATTTTAGTATAATACAAAAGAATTAGTTTCAACCAAACTAATAAATAGTTCCAAATTAATAAATGTAAATCTTCATCCACTTTTCATGAGATAACATACAAGATAACAAAATTTCAAGAATTTGCTAAGTAATTAAAGCACACAAAAAAAGGAACTCATATCCTATCGCGCTTCCATTATAGAAATGGTCAAATTATTTAGTGAACAATCTTTTGACATGCCCTCATTTGAAGTGTAGTATGATTGCACTTTCAAGTTGCAACATCTACTTGCAGTGTAGTATGGTTGTGGTGATAGTAACATATCATTTGGTAATATCGGTACCCAATTTCTTTCTCACTGTAATAGTATTGTTCAGTAAAATTTCTTTGCAATCTGTGTGCTAAGTTTGAAGAAGCCCATGGAGAGTTCTAAAACCAATCTATTTGCATAGGTAGTTTTTAGGAATTGGCTGTTCTTTATCATTTGTCTAATGCTAGCTATTGCACCAATGATCTCTTACTTGCTTTGTATCTTCAAGTGATTAACAATTTTAATTGTGTTTTTACTATTGCATTTACTTAATTTTGATGTTCTTTATTTTTGATATCATTCATTTTGCAAATATTAGGCATGCTTTTATTATTTATGTTAAAACCCAAACTTCTATTGTTCTTTCAAGTTTAATGCCCTACAACTTAGTAGGATTATATTACCTGTTTATTGTTCTTTCAAGTTTAACGCCCTACAACTTAGTAAGATTATATTACTTGTTTATTGTTCTTTTAAGTTTAACGCATTTTTTTTCCATTGTTGATTATGAAAACTTATAGGGCACTAATTATGTCCTTTTTCCACATGTACTGAATCAAATAAGTTTTTACTTCTCCTTCTGTTAGCACATATGGGCTCCAACCAATTGAAGTTTCTTCCTAATATTTAAGAAAGGAAAGGTGAACAATAGTTGTTTTGTCTGACCTCCCATTTGATTATTTAAGCTTTATATATATAATCCAACCCCCAGTTGCTAAATTGGAAGAAACAGTATGAATTAGGCTTGATGATTATATTCTATGCTGTTTGATTGTTGCATTGAAGTGCATGACTGGTTTGAGTTTTATCTTGCAGTATAATTTTGAAACTCGAAAAACATTTTTTGCTTCTTTTGCTAGGTGCTCTCTGCAGGTACTGTTTCAGACCCATTGTTTATTATATAGATTTATGTTAGATCTGTAACTCTTTTCCAAAAAGTTTGCCTTATTGTACTGAGTGCTTAATACATGCACTATTTTTTTTTTCCCCATTATTTATAGATCGGCATTATGGATTAATGAAGAAATTAAATTGTTGTAAACCAAGGTAGTGCCACTGAATTTTAGTAATTCAGTAAAGGGGAAATTGCACCAATAATAGCTATTCATCATTATTTACATCGTGCCTTTAGTTATAGGCATACGCTAGTATATATATAACTTAAAAAATGTAACAAATCTATCTATACTATTAGAAGGAATAAATTAGTTTAGTGAAACCTTATTCTCCTTGTGTTATGTGGCAACTTTATATATGCTAAAATAAAATATAAAAAAATTATTATACACAGCGTAAACAAGTTTTGAATCCAAGATTTGGGTTCCATTAAGAACATACTTATCACTTAAGCAACATATATATATATATATTATGATATTAAATTCTTTATTATTTATTTTTATTATTAGTCATCTAAATTGCACATGTATTGTGTGCGCTGTCTGCTAGTTCTATGTAGAAGCCCAAATTAGTATTGACACTTTTTATTTTCAAATTATTGATCTGTAATTAAAAATTGAATAATAAGTTTTATTTATTTATTTTATTTTATTAAAAACTATCTACTCAATCTATAATGATCAATTTTATTTTCTGAAAAATGTATGAGATCGTCAAAAAACTTTTAGTACAATTTTATTCACAATGATATGTCAAGATAGGTGTTAACTTTTGATTTGTTATACACCTAATGCTTGAGACCCTATTCACTTGCTATATCATTGTAGATGAATTTGTGGGTCAAATGTAGGGCTAGGCATAAGGTTATCCGAACCGCCCAATCCGCCTAACCTGAATCAATCTGCATACAAATGGACGATTTCACAGGCACAATGCGAGCGAATGTGGTTTGGAATATGGCATGATTGCGGGTTGCGAATTTAACTTGCACTCGCAAGAATTCCCTCGCACTTAGACTTTAATTGTATTGTTGGTATTTTTGGATGAATGTAAAAGTTAATGAAGAATTACTTTTAAATAAGTTTAGAATTTTGATTGATTTTACTTTAATTGTATTGTTGGGTAGTAGATACTAAATGAGATTGGTGATCTAGTTTAGAATTTTGAAAGATATGATTGTGTTAGTTTATGATTTGATTTAAAAGTTTAGGATTTTAAATGATTTGTTTGTGTTATGAATTGATTTTGTTGTATTTTTAATTTCAACCCCGGTTGGTAGCTCGAAATTCGTGGGTCGAATTTGGCTCGACACCAAAACGACGTCGTTTTGGTGTCTGTTTTTTTTTTTTTTTTGGCCCCTTTTTCCTGTGTTTAATCAGAAACGAAGAAGAGGGGAGAAGAAGAAGAAGAGGAGAAGGGAGAAGAAGAGGAGAATGAAGAAGAAGGGAAGAGGAGGAGGACTGGAGGGGGCCCAATTATTAGGGCTGGAGGCGGAGGCGGGGGGCGGAGGCGACGAGCTACGAAGCTGCGACGAGGACGGCGAGTGGAGGCGACGAGCTCCTCACGGCGGAGGCACAGGAGGGCTGTGACGAGGACGGCGAGGCAACGAGGCGACGGCGTCGGCAGAACCAGCACCCGCCGTCTCCCTTTCTTCTCCTTCTCCTCTCTTCTCTCCATCTCTTCTCTCCCTCTTCGAATTCGACCCAAATTCGACCCACGAATTTCGAGCACCCACCCATTTTTCTTTTAATTTTATAAATTTTAATTCATTAATTATTAATGTTGGAGTATTTTAGAAAATGGAGGGAAAATGGCCCAAAATAAATATTTATAAAATAAGAAAAAAGGATCCAAAATAAATTTTTAAAGAAAAAAAGTCTAATCTGCAAACCACTCGCACATCTACGAACCTTATTTGCACAAACCGCATGCGGACGGTTGTGGGTTGAATTTTTTTCAAATCGCATACATGCGGGCCGGTCCAAACCATCCAAAACCGAACCGCGACCACCCCTAGTTAAATGTGTGGGTTTGTAGCATTACTCAACTACGGGACTGTTTGTTACAGTTTTTGGGGGTGATTTATTTTGATTTGGGAGTCTATGCTAAACTGTTTGGTCTCAAATTTTCTACCACATGTGAGACATTTGATCATTCATTTGGTAGGAAATTTTATATCCCTAGCATTACTCTTATGCTTATAACTTATTAGGTAGAAATAGATTAAATAAATTGAAAAAAAATAGATTATTCAAAACCTGAGGTAGAAGTATTTTTAATTTTTACTTTCTGATTATCAAGTTTTAACTTAAAAAAAATACACCAAACCGCATCTACATCCCAAGAGATTTGACTCTCAATAGAAAGAGAAATAATCAAAATAATTTCCCATTTAAGAGATCTCAAAAGGTTGGATTTCATAAAAGTCAAATATTTCAAACATTGAGATTATGACATGGATTTTTTTTTGACTATTTTAGTCATAAAAAGATAAAATATGTTAAAAAATTTAGTAAGATTAAATGTTACATTCAAACTATAAATATTTCATTTATTCTCTTATAAAATTTCAAAAAATTAAAAAGTTCAATCTAAATAATACTTTTTAACTCAAGTTAAAATAATTAAAAATTCAAAAAATCAACTAACATCTTAAACAAAGGCTAAAACAACTGAAAGTTTGTGAAATCGTGTGCATCGAACGAGTTTTTATTATAAATTATCATATTATTTTTTTACACATATTTTATAAAATTAAAATAAAATAATTAATTTTTAAATGAGCCTCAAAAAGTGTGAGTTCCTTTTTAAAACTATATAATTTACATTTTTTACTAATTATAATTCATCTCAAACATGGTATCCCGAACTACCAAACAACTTCTCCAACGAATGAGTGGGGGAAATAAGAGAAGAAAAGATGTGAGGTGGGTGACAAGTTGAGTGCGACTAGACAGTAGTAGACCACTCCGGAGAGAGAGAGAGAGGTCTCTTTCATTCTCTTCTATTTTCTGTCAAGTAATGGAAGGGACCCCCCCGGTTTAAATGCCGCTGCAGCTGACACTTGTTTCATTGGCGTGCTCAACACGCTCTCCTACTGTCGCGTATGCCTATACCCCTCTCTCTCTCTCTCAATCTCAACTCTAAATCTCGTTTATTTTCAGAAGTAAGATAGAGGAGATTCATAGTGAGGGGATTTATAATAAAAGAATTGTTGTGAAGGAATTGATAGTGAGGAGATTAAGTAAAATTGTGTTTATTTTGATGATAGTTGTTACTGTAGGAATTATTAAATTATTTTAATATAAAATATAAAACAAATAAAAAAATATAAAAAATTAAACATTAATATTTTAAAAAAAATTTCCAATATATAAAAAATATAAAAATTTCCAATCCCCTCTCTATTTTTCTAATACCATCTCCACCTACTCTATCTTAATCCCCCTTCCAACCTCCATCTATATCAACTCCTCCATCTTAATCCCCTCTACAACTCTACAAATAAACACAACACTAAATAATCTCACCTTCATTCAAATCCTCTCCTATCTATTTAACCCCAAAACAAACGGGGCTTAAGGGGTAATTTAGGAAAATAATTAAAGTTTTTTTTTTACTTTTAATTTTTTTTAAGTTATATTTTTTATATATAAAAAGATAAAAAAAAGTCAAAAAAAAAATTAAAAATTTTTTAACTAACTTTTCAAATTACCTCCAAATCTAGAGCTCTAATGATATATAGCCTCCGTTTGAGAAGTGAGTTGGCTTTTTAATTTTTTGAATTTTTTGGCTATTTTAGCCTGGGCTAAAAAGCTTGGTTTGGAAAGGACTTTTTGATTTTTTTGACTTTTTTTTTGTGAGAGAAGAGTGTAATGATTATGGATTGAACGTGATATTTTGTTTGTTATGACTAAAATAGTCTATTTTATCTTTTGCAGCTAAAATAATCCCAAACTTCCTTGTCAAACGGAGCCATATATGTATATATATATAAAAGAACTAACACAAAATAGACCTCATCCATTAGAGCACTTTTACAGCTCAAGGTCACTTATTAGGGGGGTTTGGTAAAGGTTATTTTTGACTTTTTGGATTAAAATTTATAAAAAGACAAAATATATTAAAATAGTTAAAAAGATAAAATATCACATTAAATTTATAATCATTTTATTTTTTCTCTCACAAACAGCATATTCAATTACAAAAAAATATAATTATTTTTTTAAATATAAAAATTTTAATTTATTAAAATAATTAAAAATTAAAATAATTTACTAAAATGATAACTTTCCAAACATCCACGTTATAGCTCTCAATCTTTTTCTTAAAAAGAAAACAAAACAGGAGTGTTGGGTTGGTTTGGGGGGAAGGAAAAATAACTGTTCACGTGGCTGGGATTTTTGTTCCCTCTTAACAGTTTTTCACTGATTGGCTGGGATTTTTATTCCTTGTTAACAGTTTTTCACTAACCACCTGAGGCCTTCCAACGCATAATTTAAAACAATAAAGATCCGGAGCCTTTGAGGGTCACCCCTAGGAATGAGCATGGTCCGGATTAAATCAGATTAGGATAAAATTAAAATTAATTCATTATTTATGATTTTTGAAAAATTAGAACCAATTCAATCCGCTTAAATCATGAAACCAATCCATTTAAACATGAATTGGATCGGTTTAGGATCACGGATTCACATAATTAAATAACAAAAAAAAAAATATATAACACTTTAATTTCATAAAAACATAAACATAGTGCTATATTAGTCCCATAATAGCAACATATTTTTTTATAATAGCAACATACTGTTCTAAAATTTAAACAACCATAAGAAAACTGGTTTCACTATAAAAATTTAGACCATTATAAATTAAAACTAAAAACTAACGAATAAAAGTAATAAAAGAAGATATTATACGGGTTTAGGTTTGAGTTTAGGTTTTATATAGAATAAAAGAAGATACTATGAGGGAGGATGTATAATAAAAATATAGACTATTTGCATACGGTCCGGATCGGTTCCAATCCGGAACCATGGGGTTTAATCCGAAACCAATCAGTGGACTACGGATTTTTAATTCTTCAATCTAGAACAGAACCATGGATTCAAAAAATAAAATCCAAACCTATCGGAGTGGACTGGACTGGATCGAATTACGGATTTCACAGATTCCTTACTCAGCCCTAGTCACCTCCTCGACCCTTTTGCCTTTAATTGGTCAAAATTTTTTTTTTTCTTCTCCCCTTATCATCAACCCTTACGTGTGTGTGGGGTGGTAGGGGTGGAGAGTTTGAGGGGTCTGAATCATGGCCCAATTTAAAAACGGTGTTGTTTGGATCGTAGACTCATTATAGAGCTGATTTTAATAATTTTAATTGTTTATTTTATCAAAGGTTCTGTTAATCTATTAATTTTAATTTATTTAATTTAGAAATTTTATTTAAAATAATATATGACAAATGTATTTTAAAAAATATATCATTTATTTTTTAGTGATGAACACGACAAATTGAATAACTAAGAATATCAGATCAAATGATTTTTTGTGTAAATAATATACACGAAAGACTTCGCAAATTGAACTATTTAAATTATCAAAACGAGACCCATAGTGAAAGCACGTGAATGGATTGGAAAGGATCCAAATGAACCTGCAACGCGACTTTAATTGAGCAACATAACTGTTGTTTGATAAAATTAAAAATTAAAGATTGAAAATTAAGTACTAAAAATCGAATATTAAATTTTTTAAGTTGAAAATTTATTTGATAAAAATTCAAATAATGAACTACAAATAAATTGTTTAATATGTATAAGATCAAATTTAAAATTTATTATTTTCAAATTGTATATTTTAATTTTTATATTATGATGGTAGTGGTAATAGTATGCTGGTAGTGACTGCTGTGGGGGTGGCAGTGATAGTGGCGGTATGGTGGCGGTGGCAATGGTACTAGTGATAGTGGTGGCAGTGCCATGATGGTTGTGGTTGTGGTGGTCATGGTGATAGTGATAATAAAATGATAGCGGTGTTTATGAAAACAATGATAATGGTGATGAAGATGGTGATAATGGTAGCGATGGTAGTGGCGGTGGTAGTAGCGGTAGTAATAGTAGTGAATTTATAATAGTGTATATTGATACTTATGTTTAGTATTCATAAATTC